TTTTTTTTAAAATTGTGTTAACAATGAAGATTACTGTTATTAATAAATGTACACTCAAAGTGTAAACCGAAGTGTGCAATTTTTTTAACACATAATTTCATAGTATAGAAGGGTTATGGAGACTATAGATATTTTATTGTTTAGTCTAAACGAAAACGTTTCTTGTACCAGGTTTCTGGTCATGGGTTTAAGCCTCTGTGGTGAGATCAAGTTTGGTCAGTACTCAGTGGTCCAAAAGAAGGACGAAACAGTTGTCTAGTACTTCCCGGTTTTCAATACTGGTTCAGCTAAGATAATTTTGTGATTGGAACTATTAAAATACAACTTTACAAGTGGTTTCTTCAAGAGAGTAACATCTCATGAAGGTATCAATAAAAAACAAAAGTGCGCTAGATGATTTTATTTTCCTAATAGAAGATTCTACAGCATTATACATCCTCACACCTATCAGGGCTTGAACTCAGGACTTTCCTACAACTTGTTGAATGGATAACCTTAAGTATTCAGTGATCCACATTTCTAACCTCAATTCACGATATCAGACCATGACGCAAGAATCATGTAAATATTAAACTAATTTTCACAAAACCTCTGAACATATAAACAAAGATTCAGTTAGTATTGTTTGATTGAATCTTCCCATTGATGTTTAAGACTGCAACTGGTCAGTCTCTAATTGGAATATGTGTATACTGTGCGTATTGCCTCGATATAGCCTTAATTCACAAACATTGTAAGCAAAGATGGATAGTGGCTAGCAGTGTAATCCAGTTTGACGGGCGTTTCGTTCCATTTGGGACTCGTCAGCTGAATGTACCTGTATCTCAGAGTTAATGTTTACTCTGGGACTCGAACCCAGTACCGTTCGCTTCAAACATCATCGCATTATCCACTCAGCTACTGTGTCCTGATAACCTTTTGCTTGAAGCGAAAGGTACTGGGTTCGAGTCTCAAAGTGAACATCAACTCTGAGACGCAGGTACATTCAGCTGACGAGTCCCAAATAGGACGAAACGCGCGTCAAACTGGATTCCACTGCTAGTCACTATCCATCTTTGCTTATAAACAAAGATGTTTTTAAGTAGTAAGGATATAAAATCTTAAAAATCAATACTGAAAAATATTCAACACTGTAAAAATCCCATGAATAATATTTGCTAAACTAAGAAATCTTACATAGAACGTTGATAACTATAAGTCTAATCTGTTACAATGAATATAATTGACGTTTTTCAACAATGCTTATCTATCTATATACATATATATGAAGTGGTCAGGTTGTATAAGGGGTAAGAAGTATTCTATTTTTGATTAAAGAAAGTATTCACTGTTATAAAAGAACGGAAATATTATCAATAATCAAGATTAAAGGATAATCTTGGCATAAATAAGTACACACAGAAGAATACAAAGAATTAATGGAACATTGTATACATTTATCCATATATATGTATAATTCACAGTTCATGTATCTAGTTACATTGGTTATTCAAATAACTGATTTGTCACCCTTATTTGTATAAAAGAAAATTTAAGGAAATGTATTTACTTTGTCATAGATACTATTATCATTGTTACTACTATAGAATGAAATCATTACTTATCAGAATCTATATTCCACTTCAAGTTATAATATTTGTTACGTTTACAATTTGTCTTATTCTTAGCAGGATAATAGTTACGTCTTTGATCTGTCTAACCAATAATATATAAGAGGGAACTTGTCTCAATATAAATTAAGAGTTTAATTCCATAGGATGACTGGTTTAACTTTAAAATTAAAAACGCGTGAGTTTGAAGTTGGAGTAACAGCTTGAATTGGATTGCATCAGCTGATTGATTGACAAGGGTACGCTAGAGAGAAAACAAGTCGACTAGAACACTATTCAATTTGCACCCCATTCCAATTAACAATTTAATCCGGTCCCGATACGGAATAGTACTAAAAGATATATGAGTAAGTAGGTGATTAACATGACCACAACTCACAAATAATTAGAACAATGCAATTATGTCCAAACTGGGTATTAGGATAGGAAAATAGAGTACAAAAGGTTACGTTTAAATAACAATAGCTTTGGAACATAGAAGAGTATGGCAGTGAATCATACATCAAACGAAAGCTTATAGTTTGTCAAATAAACGAGAAACATAACTAAATGTTAGTGTTTTACAAGCTTTGAATTAACTTAAATAACGTCTCCAAAACATAGCTTCCATTGTTTGTCATAGCTTCTCGTTTCTATGTTGACATCAGTTTCTTTCATCAAACAGAACTTGATGAAAATAAGTTTCATGAATTGAATAGGAGAATATCTTGTATTGAGTTTATTTAGTGAACATCAGCTCTGGTACATCCAGCTGATGAGACCGATATAGGACGAAACACGCTTGCTGGATTCCACTGTTAGCCATTATCTATTTTTGTTTAATTAATTACGTCGTATACGATGGATTCTAACCAATTTAATTTATATAAATACGTTAAGGCTTATTGAAATTTTTATCATGGAATACCATAGACTGTTAAGAAGATGATGAAAACATGAAGAAATATTATGGGACTCCCCTGCAGTGCGCATCCACGGTCCCGCGCCAGAGCATTTAACCGACAGACCACTGAGCCAGCCGGCATCCAACCGTGGTAATGTTTAACTTCAACTGATCCACGAAGTTGAGCAACCATCCACCAAATGTCTTCAGTGAGTTGATATCTCACAACTCAACTTCGTGGATCAGTTGAAGTTAGACATTAACACCGTTGGATGCCAGCTCAGTGGTCTAGTGGTTAAGTGCTCTGGCGCGAGACTGGTAAGTCCAGGGTTCGAATCCCGCGAGACGGCATCGTAGATGCGCACTGCTGAGGAGTCCCATAATAGAACGAAGTGGCCATCCAGTACTTCCAGGTTTTCCATGGTGTTCTAGCTTCAATTGACTCATGGTTTCAACTATGAAAATACTAAATCTCCACAAAAACCCCTTCTAATTATAATTAAAAAATAAAGAAGTATGTACATATGATGAATAGATCCTTTTCTTCTGAAATGATGCTTCTTCTTCTTCTTCTTCTACTTCTCTGTAAACTGATTATTGATCATTTTGGTTTTTCCATTTATCTTTTTTGTAACTAAAAAATACAATTGATTACCAACATCTAGATTGAGTTAAAGTAATTTGTAGCATATAGTTTAATTATCTCTTATGTTGACTGTCTACTTCTATAAATTCGGTGTTCATCTTGTTGTGCTGACGAGGTATGTCAACTTGAACCGATGCATATATGTGCTTGGTCCTACGTTGTAGTTGACTGACTGACTGACTATGTTGACTGTATTTTGTTGTTAACGAATTCTGTATTGTAGGAAATGTGTAAAATAAGATTGTCGCTTTAAAATTATTTATTATTTAGTAAATATCATATACGTATGAATGTCATTCATAAAAATATTGGTTTATTTAAAAAAATAATATTTTTGGGAAAATCAAGTTTACCTCCTTCAAAATACTCTCCATTTGCAACAGTACACTTGTTTAATCTTTTCTTTTTCATTATTGAAATCATCTCTTGAGATGGTGGGGAACACTACACTACATCAGACTGATCAGACTCTATCTTCATCTTCGTCTGCATAAACATCAGTTAGCGGTCAAACACCATGAAATATTCTCACTTATATCAATGCATGTGGACAGCTGTGGATACACATTTGACAGGAAAAATGTGGAGACCTTGGATAGAGGCAATTCTAAAAACACTAGAGAATTTTTATGGAAGCTTGGAACTCAGGTCAATCAGTAATCAACAAGCACATTTAAATTGATCCAATTTATCAACCAATCAGAAAAATTATGGACAAACATAGGACCAAAAATCAAATCAATGTGAGATACAATCAAAATTAAGAAGTAAACAATGACAGGTTTATGGTCAACAAGAGCCAATCAACGTCAAGGTCTACAGAACAAGCTGGGAGCCATATGTGGAGAAATTCGAACACTTCACTTCTACTTGAAGTTTGTGCTGATGATGTCGTTCAGAAGAACGATGAAAGCTCCACGACCAAACTATTCAGCTCAGAGAACAAAACTCCATCAAGATCAAAAACATCTTTTTCGGTACTCCGGCATAAGCTTTTCAAGTGCTCCATTATTTTACAGTTTATCGTCTTGAAATTGTTCATCTACTTCAGATACATTGTCACTTCTCATTTTGTAACCAAAATTAAAATAAGAAATCTTAATGGGTTATTTCCGGCAATTAAGCTAATCTAACAGGAGGACTAAATAATGGTCTAAGAAATGGTAGAAAATCACTGTTGACTATGGGGGTAAGTTGTCAGGCAACAATAATCCTTTACAGTTACATAAATACAGATGTTTACAACATACAATATCCTATGAAGGATCACATTAAAGAATATAAAATCCGATGACGAGTGTGCAGTCTTCAGCACATTCTAATGATTCCCTATATTTGCTATAAGCTATAATTTGGGCAAAAATAATACTATTTCAAACAATACTACTTCTCAACAGTGCGCGTCCACGATCCCGCCTCGCGAGATTCGAACCCAGGACTTACCGTTCTCGTGGATTGGCTGAAGTTAGACATTAACACCGTTGGATGCCGCCTAGCTCAGTGGTCTAGTGGTTAAGTGCTCTGGCGCGAGACTGGTAGGTCTTGGGTTTTAGTCTCGCGAAGCAGGATCGTGGATGCACACTACTGAGGAGTCCCACAATAGAACGAAACGGCCATCCAGTACTCTCAGGTTTTCGATGGTGTTCTAGCTTCAATTGACTCACGCTTTCAACTATGAAAATACTGAAATCTCCACAAAACCCCTTCTGATCAATACTACTTCTGTTCAACAAGTAGGTAATAATATAATCAGATATGTATTTTTCGGATCTTTTGGGGGATAGATTAATGGGTTTTATTTGATAAACTAAACATTACTTCATTTGTCTTATCAGAAGATTTTATTTCATTTTCTTATCAGAGACTCAATTTCAGTGTCATTCAACATGGAAAAGTAATAATTTGAATTATATTCTTATCTATCGACAAATAAATCAGTATACTTATGAATTTTATCAACTGGTAAGTACATAGTCAAGCTAGGCTTGCATGATTGAGTGTGTTATTTCTTTGGTATTTTGATTTATACTTAAATCTGATGATGTTAAAAAAAGGCTGAACATTGTGCATTCGAAAACTGAGGCTTATTTTTACTCATCGTAACTCTTATTACTGCAGTTTGAAGAGCTTTGAGGTTGACCACTTCTAATAGATTATTTCTAATATTGTAAATGACTGAATATGACTGACTAGTGATTAATTAACTGCCTGTTTGAAATACTTGACGATTAACAGTCCTGAATACATCCGAGTAGTAGGGTGATCATGAGCATAGAAAATTAGACTCACAGAACATAAGTCAATGTAACTTGTTTCATAGAATAAATAATCAACACAGAGCTTCGTGTAAATGTTTATAATCATCATCGAATCATATTACTATAACCAAATGAAATGCACGAATTGAGTAACAAATGAATTGAAACAATAATAATATTATCAGAAGGGGTTTGGTGGAGATTTTAGTAATTTTATAGAGTTTAGATCATGAGTCTATTGAAGCTAGACCATCATTGGAAAACCTGGAAGCACTGGATAACCGTTTCGTCATATTGTGAGACTCCTCAGCAGTGCCCATACACGATCCTTCACTCGCGAGATTCGAACCCAGGACCTAACAGTCTCGCTCCAGAGCACTTAACCGATAATAATATTGTTGATAATAATCAGAAAGATTGATTGTACAGAAGATCATTGGGAAAAAAATGAATAGATTGTATAAATAAACATGTATGAAAGTATTTTTAAACTTACTTCCTAGGGGAAGATGATAAGTTAATTCAGCTGTACCACTATAACTGATTTGAATTCCTCCCTCCAAACATTGACCATTTGAGGATATGAATCAGATAGCTTGAATCTAACAACATATCTCCAACCAAATATTTCTAACCATTTTCAAATATATTATAATGTATGTAGACGACAAGCATTGATTTCACAATACACACTTGATCAATTAGTTTCAATCGTCTTATATAAAGAAATATTTATCTTTATAAATCTTTATAAATCAACCGGGTCTGAAGACAATGGTGGATGTATCGCTCAATTTCGTGGATTGGTTGAAGTTAGACATTAACACCGTTGGATGCCAGCTCAGTAGTCTAGGGGTTAAGCGTTCGCGCACGAGACTCATAGGTATTGAGTTCGAATCTCACGAGGCGGTATCGTGATTGCGCACTGCTGAGGAGTTCCATAATAGGACGGAATGTCCATCTAGTGCTTTCAGGTTCTCCACGATGGTCTAGCTTCAATTGACTCATGAACTCAACTATGTCTTATTGTTTACAAAATAGATGCTCTCTCTTTTTCTTTTAAAACCTTTTAATCATTATTATTATTATTCAAGGTTTATTTACAATTACCAGTGGAATTATCCATAGAATCAAAAACTTATGGAAAATTTTCACCATTATGGATCATTTATGGTTTACAATCTAATCAAATCATTGAACAAATCATAATTAATCGTATATATACCTGGAATTCTATTGAACAATATAATACTAAATTAAAAAATATTATATTATATAATACAAGTGTAAAATTATATGAAATACAAATTCGTAGAGCATGTAAGTGATTTCAATGATTGAGAACTACTTACAAAATGTAAGTAGTAATGTGAGAAGTCATTAAAAAAATTGCTGAGTGATTTGTATGCTTTATTATTTTAAGGCTTTTCTTTTTTCACAGTGATATCTAGTTTGGAATAAAACTAGTCAAACGAGTTTAAGTCGTTTGGTTATGAATTGTTGACAACAAACCCCAAAATATAGGTTTCATACTAGACAGAACTTATCAATAAGGTGTACTTGTATTTTTTTGGAAATTGATGTTCCTCTGATAAATGATGAATATAAAGGTTTAATAATTTTTGACTGGATTAAATATTCTATTAACATCTGAGTTTCTTGATGAATAAGTTTAACCAACAAATGTATCAGCGTGGTGTGGAGGAGATTAAGTCAGTTAAACTAGTGGCTACATCATAATGTAATCTATCGTATTCGATCAGTACTATAAGATAGAGCAAGCATGATGTTGGCCACTACTTAGTGACCAATTATGTATGGATTTCAAAGTACCAACCGTGATCATTGACTGCAGGCTTTTATTGACTTGATTTAGAATTGTTCACAATGGATAACATACATTCACTTTGTATCTTCTCTATCTTTAATTACAGTCTCCTTTCATAAATACATTTACACTGCGTCTTTTCTCAATGCTCTCTCATTCTCACCGTCATTAGTGCTTCACTATCTCCATCCTTTTTTCTTTTTGTCTTGATGATTTCGTCTTGTAGTATTGGTATAGTGATTGATTGATTGACTGAACCATTAGTGTTCATTATATTGAAGTTAGGCAAGGTTTCCTAGTTCTTCCAGTTCTCATCATCTTTGCCATCAATGACGTTACAGAAAAAGCTCTGATGAATGTAGGTAATGGTGATGAGTGATTAACATTTTTCAAATGAAGTATTTACTGTATGGTTCTCAGATTTTACTAAGATATTCTGTAATTTTGTATTCAAATACATTCGATTGTCTCCACTTGTGTTCTCGTTCACCACAGTAGTATAATTTGTCAAATGCCAAAAATAACGGCAAATATTTACGAAGTTTTTTATACTGTATTCTTTGAGTGGAAAAGTTCATTTCAACTACATCGTAATACTTCAACATAGATGCATGATATTAACAATGTCACTGTTACATATTACGAATTCAAAAGCATAAATACATGATTGATACCTTTATTTGCAAAATTTTCCGAATACTTGCATGATATCAACGGTAATCATGGATATGATATAATTTATTCCCTACTGAGTAGTTTGCAGAATATTCTATATCAGAATCATAAAAGATCCATAGGTTACTACTTAGTTGTTGTAAACGATGTCATAAGTGAAGAACCGTACGTATATGGCTTACGTTCTTCCATTATAGCTATAGAGAGTTAAGCTCCGAATTTCATAAAATAGATGAATTTATGACTGACAATGAGATTCAGGACGTAAGTTTTGTCCTATTTAGCATTTGTCAGCTGGATGTACCTGAGTTTCAAGTTTCATTTTATTTTTTCCTATTGTCTTTATTTATGAGATACAGGTACATCCAGCTGAAGAGTCCTTAATAGGACGAAACGTGAGTCTTGGATTTCGCTGTTAGCTACCATCCGTCTCTGCTTATAATGTCTTTATTTCTGTTTGTCATTTTAGTTGGAAGTTGTGATGATGAAAGGGTCAGTTGTACTCATGGTTGTGAACATAATGCAAGAAATCAGTTTTTCTGTCATAGAAGTTGTCTAGTTCCAGGACAGACGTGTGGTAAGCCTTATCCTAACAAGACCTTATCAAGCTTTCACATTAATTGACATTGTAAGATGTAGAGTTTTTCTTAATATACAGTGGATAAACTGTCAGTTACTGATCATCATTATATTACTCATTAGAACTGCATTTAAGATATCTGGATTTCATAAAAAGAGTCCCAATCCTCATCAGGGTGGGGATAGTATTGCCACGGTTAATTTTTCACCAGTGAATATTTTCAAGAATGGACTAACGGAATCCACTAGTTTCAGTAAAACAGGAATAACAATAGTAGTATGGTATTTCAAATTCATTTACTTCATGCACTCTGTTCACATACTTATAACTCAAGAATAATAATATTTACTAGTTTATGAGGTCACCTCAGATCTCATTGTCGCATTATACATAAAAAATATCATAGTATTGGACTATTCTCTGATATACAACAAATACAATCCGTTTTAATTACTCAAACTGACAATGATGGCAAATAAAGCCGAGTACATTTAGCCTAGTTTTCCATACTACTTTTAAAAATCAAGTAGTTTGTCACTAGAATAAAAACATTTCAAAAAGCTTGTGGTTAATGATACATTCTACGATGTTTATCAAAACATACAGATGTTAATTACAACAAAGTTGGTGGAGAAGATTTGTAGCTCATGTGAGTGATTTTGATGTAGGTTTGTTCACGACCAAACCATCCAGCTCAAAGAACAAACCTACATCAAAATTAGAACAAAGAACACAGGTACGATATAAATCGCGCTATTTAATCGACTCAGCATAGTTATTTGTACCATTCCGAATAGCTATTTTCTGGATTCGTTGTAACTGTATGATGTTGCATAATAATAAAAACATTTTACCATCAAATTATAGGTAACATTATTCATGATTCGTGTAAATTCCATCCAAATTATTATGGTACATGGGATTTAATTGAACCAAGTTCAATCCAAGAATCAATGGGATATGAACATCCAAGTAGTCGTTTAGTAGCACAGTTTTTAATCAAAAGTGACAAATTAACTGTATCTTCAATGACTGGTATATCGTATACTATGAATTTGTATTGTGTTAAAGAAATACAAGAATCCTTATATGATCGTTATATTCTACGAAGTGATTATCAAACAAATGGATGGTAAGTTGAAGTAAACTTGATGGATGTCGAATGACTTTCTATTTACTATAAAATTTAGAATTAGTTAGATAGTTTTCAAGATGTTTGAAATTTGAAGAAAATTGTCGCTTTGGCTTTGAAATTCGTCTTTAGTAGTGTTGTATTTTTTGAGCTATATGATCTCATTAGAAAGTTTGGATATTTGTCCTAGTTAGGTGTTGTGAGCCCAAAAATATCTTGCCATGTACTAAAGAAGGATATAGCATTAATGGTATCGATAACTACTACCCAATGATCAATCAATTGTGAATACTTTCTAATTACAAGCACTTCTTCTAATACGAAACGGGATCTATGAAAACTAGATTGGGAAAACGAATAACGCACGCTATGACAGTTCAATGTTAATACTCAACACATTTAAGAGAGAAATAGAGCAAAAAGAAAGTACTCTCAGGAAAGCTTTTGAGGAAGAATTATTCGAAAGACACTGGAAGAACTGGATTGTATTCAAGTTCACTCATCTATATACCGGTTAAATTCAGTAGTTAATATTTATAGAAATAATTAAACCAACAATGTTTATTTTAATCCAAAATCTTAGGAAATTAATACAAATGAACTTTTATTTCATTGAAACGAAAAGTCATAATGAGTTAATTCACATAAAGGTAAAATATTTGAGAGCGAGGCTAATGATCCTAGGTTTAGGTTCACACCTGTGGGGGCGTGAATGTGTAGTGCCGTGCTTCGCTAACCGTTCACCTCGATAGCCGTTATAATACAAATCTCAACGGTGCATGAAATCAGAAAGCAAAGAGAAATGGCAACTACAGTTTATCGTCAAATGACACAAGCCAAAAAGTCACAAGCACATTAGCAAATATCAACGAGCAGCGAGCGCAGGCAATTACATAGGCAATTTATAGTCAAATTTAATAAGGGCACAGCAAAACAAAACAAAAGCTGATAACTGGATTTGCGTGCATACATATATGGGGAGGAGTATGAGTTATTGAATGATACTTAAGCAATCAACATTTTGGCTAAAGTCTGTCATGTGCTCTAGTGGTCATAACAGTACAAAGAAATATGCAAATTGTTACTATCCAAATGACGATGTCTGTTAAGTTAGTTAATAAAAGGGGCTTAACCAAAATTAACCATACTCGAAATCGATCATAGGATAGTTGCTATAGCTGCACATATCTCAGATATCTGAGATACTAGAATAAAATAACTATCCAGTACTCCCAAGTTTTCACTGGTTGTTTAACACTAATCAGATCGTGATTTCAATGGAAAATAAACTTTTGTTATACTGAATAAAATCTTTACTGACCTAAGAGAATAGAGATCATGTTGAATAAAATCAATACATAATTATCCACTTAATTTCTTCTCATTATATTACATTCGGGGGGGGGGCTTTAAAATCAGTAGTATATATTTTTTCATAGTTGAAAGCGTGAGTCAATTGAAGCTAGACCACCAGGGAAAACCTGGAAGCACTCGAGAGGTAAATCCAGGAGTTCTAGTGAGACGCAGTGTCCAGTAGAGTTCAAACCAGGTCTGTTGTGAGATAGAAACTCACTGAAGACAATTGTTGAACGGTTGCTCAACTTCGTGGATTGGTTGGAGTTAGGCATAAACACCATCGGATGCCGGCTCAGTGGTCTATCGGTTAAGTGCTCGAGTGCGAGACTGGTAGGTCCTGGGTTTGAATCTCGCTCGCGAGGTGAGGTCGTGGATGCGCACTACTGAGGAGTACCACAATAGGACGCAACGGCCTTCCAGTGCTTCCATGTTTTCCATGGTAGTCTAGCTTCCATTGACTCACGCTTTCAACTATGAAAATACAAAATCTCCACAAAAATATCTTTTGGTATATATAGTTGTTGTATGTGTGTGTGTGTGAAAATATAATTTTTGTCTAATTATTATGTCGATAATGCAATGAGAAGACGAAGTTTATCAGAATGTGATATATTAGCGCAATACATTTCGAACATTTTGATCACACATATACTTGTTAAGAACATTTATATATAGAAATTAAAAGGTCAACTTGACAGGTTAAAGGTAAGCCGTAAAAAAGAAAGAAAATAAATACAGTACACAAAAACAATGTGATTACCCCTCTGGATAATAAATCAGCATTACCAGGGTAGGTTTAGGGTAAGAACAAATTGCTTTTGAACATATAAAAGGGGTTTCGATTTCCGTATAGCCAAGGCTTCAATAAACCTTAGTATACATCCTTGAAGGCTTTTTTTTACAACACTACAAGTGCCGACTTGATGTCAACCTTATGACCAGTTTCAACCAAATGTTTCGTAATGGAGGAAGATGTCTGTCTATCCTGCGATCTTATTTGACCATTGGGATTCATTTTTTTCTACAGTCATTTAGGTATGTGTTCCGCCACCCTTAATTGTAGATCATAATTGCTCCTCCCTGTGTACGTGTTTCCACACATACATGTAGATTGATATACACAGTGGGATGTGATACGATCGCTTATGTGCTGTTTAGGTTTTGAATAACATTAAAGTCACGTCGGTTTTTTTAATAAATTTTTTGTCCCCCTTATTCAAAAAATTTTCATCCAATTTTCCCTTTTTTTTTTGGTGAAACATCGACCTTGTCTTTTTAATAATGACGAGTTGAGCTGCATAAAATGTCCTGTTTATAAATTCACTTAGTATTGTTTGTTTGAATCTTCCCATCGGTGTGTTAGGACTGCAACTGGTCAGTCTCTAATTGGCATATGTGCATACTGTGCGTATTGCCTCGATATACCTTAATTCACAAGCATGGTAAGCAGAGATGGATAGTGGCTAGCAGTGGAATCCAGTTTGACGCGCGTTTCGTCCTATTTCAGACTCATCAGCTGGATGTACCTGCATCTCAGAGTCGATGTTCACTCTAGGACTCAGTGGCCGAGTGGATAACGCGATGGCGTTTGAAGCGAGGGTACTGGGTTCGAGTCCCAGAGTGAACATCAACTCTGAGATGCAGGTACATCCAGCTGACGAGTCCCAAGTAGGACGAAACGCGCGTCAAACTGGATTCCACTGCTAGCCACTATCCATCTCTGCTTACCATGCTTGTGAATTAAGGTATATCGAGGCAATACGCACAGTATGCACATATGCCAATTAGAGACTGACCAGTTGCAGTCCTAAACACATCGATGGGAAGATCCAAACAAACAATACTAAGTGAATTCAAACTTCACCCCATCGCACAAGCAAGTGGTTATCAGGACTCAGTGGCCGAGTGGATAACGCGATGGCGTTTGAAGCGAGGGTACTGGGTTCGAGTCCCAGAGTGAACATCAACTCTGAGATGCAGGTGCATCCAGTTGACGAGTCCCGGATAGGACGAAACGCGTGTCCTGGATTCCACTGCTAGCCACTATCCATCTCTGCTTGTCCTGTTTATAGTTAATTTCAGTCTCCGTTTCAACATGAGACTATTTGAGTCGTCCCTAAATGGCAACATGATATAAATTCGCCTTTTGGGTGGTAGAAGCGTCATAGGTCTAATCGTATTGTAACCGTTTCAGCGGTTTATGAACTTTGATGAATAACCATTATCATTAACGTATCAGTTAGGAGAACCGTCTCTACTTCAATAGTATTCCTAGTACAAATACGATTGATTCTATTGAATAAACTCTTTATTAATCCACGTTTGTAATGAATTGGGCAGTGACTATGGAAATTAAGATATTACTCCGTCTATGTTGGCTTTCTATATATAGAACGTTGGATGGAACCATCATCTCTCCTACTGATCAGTATATCTAGAAAAGGAAGTTGATTGTTCTTTTCTTCTTTGCTCGTAAGAGAAATATGCTTTTGACTTGTATTAAGTTCTTTTAACAAGTGGTTCACATCTTCACATTTATCCCCTATAATTATGATGTCATCAACGTATCTAATTATTACGTATGATTACATAACAGTATTCTTGTTTCCTTAGAAAATAAATGTGACTGGGTATAAAAAATGTGATGTTTGTAACATATGGAATTAGATATTGACATGGTCATACTTGTTTTAATTGTTGAAAGCGTGAGTCAATTGAAGCTAGACCACTATGGAAAACCTGGAAGCACTGGACGGCCGTTTCGTCCCATTATGGGACTCCTCAGCAGTGCGCATCGATGATCCCGCACTCGCAAGATTCGTCTCAGTGGTCTATCGGTTAAGGGCTCTGGCTCGAGACTGCTAGGTCATGGGTTCAAACCTCGCAAGGCGGGATCGTGGATTCGCACTGCTGAGGAGTCCCACAATAGGACGAAATGTCCTTCCAGTGCTTCCATGTTCTCCATGGTAGTCTAGCTTCCATTGACTGACGCTTTCAACTATGGAAATATTAAATCTCCACAAAACCCCTTCTGATAATGTTTTAATTGTGCCTAGTAGATTTAGAAATGATAGTTATCATGTTAACTAGTTAAGCGCAAATAAAATAACAACGAGGAATTGATCTGTAAGGTTATCAATCTGTTTTTTTTTAATGTCCTATGAATGTTTTGTATTCAGCGTTTTCGGGTATTTTACCTTTTATTTCGTAAGTGTCTATTTCACTAGAAATATTACTTTGTGCATCGCGAGTTATTAACTTCTGTCTACAACTTATTTGTTTATTTATTTGAACACATAAATATTAGTACAAAGGGGCAACAAATACATATGTACCACACAAGTCACTTGATTTATGTGTAGGCTATGATACTGTTCGGGTGCCCAAACAGAATCACGTGGTCTTATTAGGTGGACACACCCTAGGCCTTCGACCTAATGATCTGATCTACAAGGAAGTGGAACAACGTCAGGAGATGCAGTCTCATGGTGGTTGGTGACCAACAATTGGTTCGTGAGCCATTTGTTTTGTCAGGATCCTGGAGCTCATGTACACCATTGTTTTGGAATCAGGGTTTTTCAACTCCCTAGGTAGATCCTTCATACCCACCAACACGATTAAAACACCGGACATTCGATTTTAATCCTCTCAATTTCGTAAATAATACGCCATGTGAGAGGAGTCAGTGAGTGGGACTTTCCTGACAGTGGTTGTATACGTGTGGCCATGTGGGAGAGCTGAATCTCTCCACTCTCGGCCGTACCCCAGGGGCATTCGGGGGCACGTTAGTTTACCTTATCTCCATTATCTTGATAAAAAACATGAAGGTTTTGAAATTTAAAACTTGGAATGAAATCTCCAGTGAAAGTTACACTCTTATATGAAATAATTACTAACTAAATAAATGAAAAAATGTCTAAAATTAATGGATACTACAAATTTATTGAACATTGAATATCCTAATACAATAGTTTGAAAATAGATGTAAAGAAAAATGCTGTAATAAACTTATAAAACATATAAATAAATGTCAGAAGGGGTTTTGTGGATATTATAGCAATTTCAATAGTTGATATCATGAGTCAATTGAAGCTAGACCACCATGGAAAACCTGGAAGCACTGGACGGCCGTTTCGTCCCATTATGAGACTCCAGTGGAGTTCAACCGGGTCTGTTGTGAGATAGTAACTCATTGAAGATAATGGTGGATGTGTCTCTCAATTTCGTGAATCGGTTGAAGTTAGATATTGACACCGTTGGATGACAGCTCAGTCGTGTAGAGGTCAAGCGCTCATGCGCGAGACCGATAGGTCCTGAGTTCGAATCACGCAAGACGGGATCGTGGGTTCGCACTGCTGAGGAGTCCCACAATAGGACGAAATGGTTGTCCACTGCTTCCAGGTTTTCCATGGTGGTCTACCTTCAATTGACTCATGATCTTAACTATCTAAATATAATTGATTACATTGTGAATTCAATTTATTTTAGTTATTCCAGAGATCTATGTTTAGAGATCTATCGTGGTAATAAAAATGATTTCGAAGCATTATCAAATGTTAATTCAATACTTTATAGAATAGGTAAGTAATAATTTTACATAATTCAATCATTTTATTTTATTATTTATATTTTAACATGAATTCATTTACAAAGATCTCTTGTTAGAAGTTATCAGTCCAGTCATTCGACATTTGAGTAATGTACATTCTTATCATCGTATATTGCCAGCAACCACGATATCTCTGATTAGGCCTTTTGTAACCTTTACAGCGAAAGATTATTCACTTTTCAGAAATACACCTGAATAGGTTGTGCGATTAATAGCCATAATGATGTATTAAGACAAACAAAAATGGATAAGTTGTTGAAATATCTAGATGGGTAGTCTAGATGCTTAAGTAGGCTGCCAGTTGATAGACAGCTTCCTGGATTTGATTATCAGCTACAATTCATCTTTACTCAAATATATTACCGAATAAAAATAATATATTTGTAATATCCTAATTAGTAGAAAAATCAAATTTTCCAACGTTTTATAACTTAATGTAAGCTAATCTTTCAGAGAATAAGTCTCAGTATTAAGTTATTCCAGTTACAATCGATATATGCCATTACTTACTTAACTACTTACTTACTTACTCCTGTTACCCTTCGTAGAGGAGCATAGGCTGCCCACCAGCATTCTCCATCCATCTCTGTCCTGGGCAATCCTTTCCAGTTTTTTCTAGTTGTTATTCATCCTTTTCATATCTGCTTCTATTTCCCGGCGTAATGTGTTCTTTGGCCTTCCTCTTTTCCGCTTCCCTTCTGGATTCCAAGTTAAGGATTGAGTCGTGATGCACATTAGTGATTTCCTTAATGTATGTCCTATCCACTTCCGATATATGTCATTAGGGACTGGTAAATTATAATGCCTAACAACATCAATGAGAAAAAAATAAAGATTTACAAAATACATTATCTTGCGTTTAGTCTTTCGACTAATGTCTACCAAAATCCTATCAAAAGATCATTGATAATAAAGAAGAAAATTTTATAAACAATTAATTAATCACTGAGTTGTGCTATGTATGCCAAGTCCTTCTTAGTGCTGATTAGTATCATGTCTACCTAGTCATTTAGTGTTGATTGAATTCTGTCCATCAGCTTACAATATAACCAATATTTTAAGTGAGTCAGAATCATGTGTACTATATTGTGATGCTGGATGGTAGACAGGAAATCCTGATTGATTCAGGGTGCGAGACTATAATTTATGGAAGAACCAATTAGATCTAGGATAACAGATCTTGAATTTTGGCTCGAAAATCATTCATCCATTTAGCTAAATAGCCTTTCGGTATTTTAACTGATGTCAGTTTGGAATTAAAACCCTAAATCTAATTCTTAATCCTAACCATCAACTGTAAATCATAATACTAATTCTTCACACTGGTTTATGACCCTCATTTAAAACTAGTCAGTAGGTGGAAACTTTCGAGGTCACCTTAGCGTTACTCAAATGTCATCCATAAATAATAGTCTCTCCGACATAGATTTCATACATTTTGCGATTCTTCATCAGTGTTGACAGATCTAATCCCCCGTCTATAACTTTAAACTCATTACCTTAATAAACACCAGATAGTTTTTTTTAGAAAGTGATCATACAAGGTTGCCTGTTGATTTATATGAGAAATTAAGCTAATTATATTTTAATTTCGGTAAAACTTAGTTTCATAGTGATTCCCTTTGAACCATTCTCTGTTTTACTATAACATTATTGAAGTAGGTTGGATGGATTCATTCACTTTTTAATTTGCGTTTGTACGTTTAGAAAGTCGTAATGTTTCACACAAACGTTTATATCTGGGCACAAATGAATAAACAGATTCATGAATCTTGATTGTGTTAATGAAAACTGTTGTGTCTTGACCAAGGCCGTCGCCAATTTGTTGTGACTTTACAAAATAAACAAAGGACGTTTGGTTATTCGTTATCGATTTTATGTCCGGCTTTTGTGACGTGAATTGTCCACCAATGGAAATACGACTTTCCCGACCTTAACACTGTGACAATCAATGGCGTTCGATCAGTATGAGTAATCTAGCATCGTTATTGGTCCTTAATCCACCTAGCCCTTCCAATTGAGTCCAGAACACCAATGATAGCTTCTGTTATGCGAATCTATGCGAATAGTTTATTTCATGCATACTCGGTTTATATACCAGACAGACAGACCACATCACACCATAAAATAGAAAATAATATTTATACAAGATCAAGCCAAATGTGGCTATGAACGTTGAAGACAGTAATCAATAAACTGAGTATAATTTAGGGACAGAAAATGGTATAATATTAATCAATAGGTCAAAATGAAGCTTATAATAAGATGAATATAGATATACATAATCTAATTACTGAATTGTTATACAATAAGAATATATATAGAATAATCGTCCGTTAATAGGTCCTGGGAGTTACCCGTACTTATGTATTCGCTAGGATATAACAAAAACACAAAAAAGAAAATAACTAACTAAAATATAAATTCCTTTGGTATTGTTTACTTGAATCTTCCTATTGATGGGTAGGACTGTAATTGATCAGTCTCTTATAAGTATATGTACATACTGTAGCTAACGCGATAGCATTTGAAGCGAACGGTACTGGATTCGAGTCCCAAAGTGAACATCAACTCTGAGGTGTAGGTACATACAGCTGATGAGTCCTAAATAGGACGAAACGCGTGTCAAAGATTTCACTACTAGCCACTATCCATCTTTGCTTATAAAGTATAAAGTTTAACAGAAATCACTTACTTCAGGTTTTAATAAAGTTAAACATTTATCTGATTCATTTGAATTAATGTTTCTTTCTTTAATGATGCACATTCATGGTTGTTTCAAGCTGTCGGTGGTAAACATCTTTTAACCGATATATGTCAATTTAATAATGATAATCAACTATATGGTCGGACAATTTATCCATTAAGAGCAAATATATTAATACGAAATACAGCTGATAAAAGTAAGTTTTAATGTATATGTATGATTACAAAAAGAACTATCATGTTTTCTATATGAATATCCATATATTCAATTATCTCATAAACACTGAATTAACTACTGAATACCTTTAAGAATATATTGGAAAGGTCTTGAAATGCTGAGAAAACGCTTAGCCCTATTGTAGTGAATGAGAACACAAGTGAGGATAATCGAATGTATTTGAATGCAAATTTACAGAACATCTTGGTAAAATCTGAGAACCATACAGTCAATATTTCATTTACAAAATGTTAATCATTTGTCTCAAACTTGACTGTTCCTTTTGCAAATACCAGTTAGTTGTCTCAGACTCCGTTGTTCTTTTGTTTCCACACCAACCATTCTTTGTTCCCGTTCTCTTTTCTTTGATCTTCTTAACCTTCTTCCTCCAGGTATTTCACTTTCGATTGATGATACATACTACTTATGTCTGCCGACATCAGTAGCTAACACCACATTATCAACGTTAAATAGGGTATTTCCAATGAGTGGAAAAAATATAGATCATTTGTGAAATTTCGGTTGGATAATTACCGATTTTGTAGCTAGTTTTCATGTTTTTAGAAGATTTCAACCTCTCAATATCGTCAAAAAAACTTATGAATATTCTCTTTTACTGCAATTAAACTAACTTTGGAAGTATACCTACTCTCATGATTCATGCTTTTTGTCTTCTAGTCGGGTTTCAAGTTTAGGATATATATAGGAAACTATAATATGGTTAGAAGTGTCGAGCCACCTAGACTAGTGGCCACATTGCAACTTAATCAATAACATTCGATCAGCACTAAGAAGGAATTGACACGCATGACATTGATCATCACCCAGTGATCAATCAATTATGGTTAGAAGTTATTGTTAAACATGCAAGTACATAACAATAACAATGCTTAATATGATAATGTTAACCATAAGTTTCTTTTAGCTTTACCAACCATCATTCACTGTTGTAAAAATACAAAAATGCATACAGTGGTCAATCTACTCATCATAAAGAAAAGTCAATTTAACCGATATAATTTGTTCAAATAAACGATCTGTGGAAATTGGCGAAGAGTTCCATACTGGGACAAACACATTTATTTAGTACTTTCTTGTTTTTAGTTAAGGTTTAGCTAAGATTAACTAATGAGTTAAACTATAAAAATGTAATTTAATTCATTTAACTAAGTGTTTAATGTTGTAAACACTTTAACAATTCAAATGAACATTTAGTTACTGAGGTTAAGTAAAAGTAGTAGTAGAAAGTAGAGTAGCTGAAGCGTTCTATATAATGCTTAATATCACTGCTCTCAATAGAAGAGAAGGCCTCACTATTCATCCTACGTGGACTATCTATCCAAGCTACCATGTCTGATATTATTCATATTTCACAGTATTATCGTACATACAAATTAAACTCTATCCTTTCTCACCTCAAATGTCACAGTTTTTCACCCCTTACTATACAAACACGCACACACACGAATACAAATATGTGTCATATAAATCACCTTGAGTGAAATGATATGACAATGACTTGTTCAGAACTGTTTTTTCACTGACCGCACCCAATATTTTTGCTTTGTTCCTTTGTACTATTTAAACTTGGATTAATTTTGATTTGGTTATTTATTCACTGAAGAAGTGGCTTGCCCCGAATTACGAAACATCAGAAAATTTAATTTTCCTACTCATTGAGATATATTATGAGATAGTAACTCACTGAAAACAATGGTGGATGCCGGCTAAATAGTCTAGAGGTCAAGCGTTCGCGCACGAGACCGATGGGTTCTGGGTTCCAATTCTGCGAGGCGGGGTCGTGGATATTGCACTAATGAGGAGCTCCACACTAGGACAAAACTGCCGTTCAGTGCTTTCACATTTTCCATGGTGATCTAGCTTCAATTGACTCATGAACTCAACTTTTAAATTACAAATATATTATTTCTATTTATGGTGTATTAATTATTATTTACATTCATTGGATAGATACAGACTAATTGATAAGCCTTGCTGGTTGAACGTTATACTCGGATCCTTAGTTAGTCACGTAACCCCCTAGCTAGAACTACACAGAGACCTGAACACGAGAGAAAAAGCGCAAAATATACGATGAACACTTTACTCCAAAGGTTCATTTATATCCAGAAAATATAGGGTTTTTATAGCATTTTAGAAGTCCTTGGGTTTACCTGAAAATTCTGGAATGCTACTAAACATAGTAGCAGTAAAGTAATCAGCCAATCAGAAACTCTACACGTGACTTTTTATTTTCGTGATGTTTCTAACATAACTTCTAATCAAACGCTGATTGGATAAAATACCTCCTAGTGTTTCCTGAGCCTTTTTTGTCTTTTGCAAGAAGTTTTTTGGATCATCTCAACACCAAAATAATTGTACTTTTTTATTTTGAAAGTTTCCGTTTTTCTTTGGGGAAGGGGGAAACTTCGATGGTGGTAAATTAAAGTGCAAAAGTTGAACATTGAAATATTTTTTTGGTTTCTTTTTCAAATTAACATTGATGAAAACATAAAAAAATTTCTTGTTTAAATGTCTTAATTAATGTGATTGATGTATAACGCCCATTTTTTGTTCTATTTTCCGTGAATCCGCCGATGAACTTTATAGGAAAACTGTATTTAATTTATATATTGAAACATTTATAGGAAACTAAATAATTAAAAAGAAAATTAAGAATTTTGACGAAATCACTGTTCATTTATGTACCGATGTGTTATGATCACCTTTATCAGAAAAATATAAAAATTAAGATAGTGGTTGGAGGTGGTCTACAGGAAACCGTGGACCCGAGTTTCGTGCTACTTGGCACTCGTCAGCTAGGTGTACCTGTAATCTTGAGGGAGCTGGTGCTCCCGAATAGCTAAGTGGTAACGTCTCTGACTGTGAAGCTGAGTGACAAGGGATCGAATCCGTCAGGGAGCACCAGTTCCCTCAAGATTACAGGCACATCTTGCTGACGAGTGCCAAGTAGCACGAAACCCGGGACCATGGTTTCCTGTAGACCACTTCCAACCACCATCTAATCTCAACATAGCGCCCGCAGTGTCGAGTCACCTAGACTAGTGGCCACATTGCAACTTGATCGATAGCATTCGATCAGCACTAAGAAGGACTTGACACGCATGACATTGATCACCATCCAGTGATCAATCAATTGTGAAATATAAAAATTGTTCCATGTTTTGATATGATTTATATACTGTACACTTCAAGATGTTACACATTATCTTAGCTCAAACAGCCGAGAAATGATGACAACTTAGTGGTCTAGAGGTTGGGTGTTTGTGCATGAGACTGAAGGCCCTGGGCTCGAGTCCTCTTTGCCAACAATACACTTCAAGATAATGTCCAAATTGTTCCGCGTAAATTACTTCAGACTGAGTGTATTAAGGGTTATTCTATTCAATCTAAGGCCTAAAATGTTTGTAAATATTGATATGGTTTTATGGAGATGATTTTCAGCATTAAGGGTTTGTGAAGATTTCTGATTGTTAATGAAACACGTTAGTTTTGTAATATCTCGAAGCGATAGAATTCAGATATGGAAAAGATTAGATGGCGGCTTAGAGGTTTAAAGTGTTATTAAGACGATTTGAAGATCCTTGATCGATTCTCTATGGGGCTGCGGATACAAACTGCTTAGGAGTCTAACATTAGAACGAAAAAGCTACCCAGTGCTTCCTCTTTTACAGTGGTTATCAAACTTAAATCAGTTTGTGATCTTAATAAAAATAATTTTGTTCTTAAATTTTCAATGAACTTTTTAACGTTAATCCGATTTTCATTTTTTTTCCAGATATTATGGCTCCTACTGGTGTTACTAAGTGTGGACTTTATCAAATACGTCTTACTGGTAAATTGTTTATTCTCAATACTGAACCAACACAGTTTGGTGGTCAGGATGATTTGTTTAATATAACAAACAAACAAGCTATTAATAATCGTTTGGGAAAAGAAGATCACACAAATATAATGTCAAATATAAATGGAAAGTTATTGAATACATACGAAGCTAATGATGATAAAAGCTATCAAGAACCGTGTTCCGTAGAAATCAGTGATTTCAATCCGGATCTAGGTATCTCTGGAGAATTCGATAATACACTAAGAATTAGACATTATTGTGAATCTACCATTTATCCAAGTATATTTAAATCAGGTAATTGATGATATCATGTAGTAATTTTTATTACACCATTTTCTTTTTAATTCATATTGGAAGTGTCGATTTACTCCTTGAGGTAGTTTAATAGTGTTCCGTCGAAAATTATATTCACTTCAAAGTAATAGCTTGGAAAAAATTCCATTTACTTGATGTTTTACTAAGCAGAAAATGGGTCAATCAGTAGAAGTATGTATAGAAATAGTTCATCTTTGTGTCTATGCTCATATCTTTTTAGCTCTAAACTGATTCGATACATGAAAACCTAGTTTTTTTGCTTATAAATACAGCTAGAAAGATATGCTATGACCATACCGTAAATATAGAATTAGACTTCATTTTTGATATGCTGATTGAAGGAACATTTGTGTACAGTTAAGAAGTCAGAGTCATGAGTCGTTCGGAAGAAGCCTTTTTTCATGAAACTATAATTGAACAGGGGTACAGGTTGTGATGTTTTACTCCATAAGCTAATCAGAGCTTTGAAAAGAAGTATCTCATGCATAAAACACCTGTTTTTCATTTTCTAGCCGATCGGTGATGTGTGCGCAACTAAAGGATTAATTAATTGGTTTTGCCACTTCATCATATATTTGTGAATTCAACTGCTCTTGTGGAGAGAGCCATATTAAAAGTACTGTTCAGTGACTTAGCTAACGAGACTTATCGACTGAATTTATTCTCACCGGTTTTAATGTTCGCATCGGGACTAGAACCTCGTTCCATTTGCCTCAAACTTCTAGTACCTTATCTACTTGTTATATCGTATGGGCTCATAATATAAATGAACGTGCAATTAGAGAGGAGTGGATTTTACTGATCGGCGCAATGATGATGCATAAAATCGTACGAGCCGACTAGAGTGCTAACCGGTCCTGCGATCTGCCTAGCCCAGCCAGTTAAGTCCAGAACACAAATAACAGCCTCAGTGGTATGAATCATTATTTACAAACATAATGGGTTTTTATACAAACCAAAGTAATCAATAAACTGATTATAACTCAAGAATCGTATGATAATAAATCAAAGATCAAAATAAAGCTAATGATAAGAGAAACATGAATATGAATAGTTCAGTTACGTAATAATTGTACAATAGGAAATAGGCATAATACATTGGTCGATAAATAGTCTTTAGAGTTACCATTCATAATTCACTAGGGGATATAACACTACTGAACCAGTGGGTTCAGTTCGCCACTCATTTGCTCATCCTGTCTATTATTTATTATCATTAATAAAGGGTGTTCCAATTATCATTTTATCTAAGGTAGAGCGGGTTAAAACTTAACTTTTTCACTGAATATTATCTTTCAACTTCTTTTTTGCAGATCATCAATGTATTGCATCGTTCAATATTGATGGAATTTCAACTATTTCTGCATCTTATTTCTTACTTATTACATATCTTAAAATTACAGATCAGTATTATTGTCTAGTAAGTGAAATCTATATACTGCTATTTAATCACACTACATACAGTGAATAAGTATAGATGGATTTTATATAGTTGAAATCATGAGTCAATTGGACGGCCATCCAATGCTTCCAGGTTTTCCATCGTGGTCTAGCTTCAATTGACTCATAATTTCAACTATATAAAATTACTCAAATCTCCACAAAACCCCCTTCTGATATATGGATCTATCTATTTGCTTTACTCTTATTCATGTAAATTGCTTCAACGAAGAGTGAGAGTATTTTTTTGTTTTCACAATACAATATTGTAAAACGATAGTAGGACTAGGGATAAAGATTTTGACTGAATACCCTGCTATACACTGACTAGATCACATCTTACTGGATAAACGATTCAGGAAAGAAAATAGAGAATCAGAGTGTAGACTAGACAATACTTTGTTCAATGCAATTACAAGCAGTTTATACTCAGCTATTCCAGAGTAGGAATCAATACCAGGAAAGGAAATCACATTTTGATGGAGTTTCGTTCTCTGAGCTGGATAGTTTAGTCGTGGAGCTTTCATCATTCTTCTGAACAACATCATCAGACTTCAGGTAGAAGTGAAGTTTGTGCTGATGATGTTGTACAGAAGAATGATGAAAGCTCCACGACTAAACCATCCAGCTCAGAGAACAAAACTCCATCAAAATCATCCAACTGAGCTACAAATCTCCGCCATCACAAGGAAATCACATGTTTAATAACATCTATTTGTCCATGTTCAGTAGCCAATTACGTTTTCTTCAAGCCATTGTAGCATAGAAATTTAAATACTGAAATCCGATGGCTGTTTAACTAAGTTTATTTGAAGCACTCTAAAATAGAATAGAATATTCGTGAATCTTTCATTATCTTTCAAGACAGGATTATCCAAAGATTGTATTAACGATATTGTCTAGAAAGACAATCAAAGCTTGCTGATTAAACTAAATATATAAATAAGAAAATACAACTTCAACAAATAATTTTTCTATAGAGTTGAGACCATGAGTGGGTATCCACGATCCCGCCTCGCGAGATTCGAACCCAGGACATATCAGTCTCGTGCCAGAGCACTCGACCACCAGACCACTGAGCCGGCATCCAACGGTGTTAATGTCTAACTTCAACCAATCCACAAAGTTGAGCAATCGTTCACCAATTGTCTTCAGTGAGTTTCTATCTCAGAACAGACGTTGTTTGAACTCCACTGGTTACTGCTTTTCACTAGAACTCCAGGAAATACCTCATGGAGCCATTCACTAGTGAGCATATGATCATTATCAGAAGGGGTTTGGTAGAGATTTTCGTAATTTCAAAAAGTTGAGATCATGAGTCAATTGAAGCTAGACCACCATGGTAAACCTGGAAGCACTGGACGGCCGTTTCGTCCTATTATGAGACACGCACTGCTGAGGTGTCCTATAACAGGGCGAAACGGCCATCCAGTGCTTCCAGGTTTACCATGGTGGTCTAGCTTCAATTGATTCATGATCTCAATTATTAAAATTAATTTCTTGTAAATTCTATCAGGAAAACATTTTGCTAGTATATCTTTATTGAATATATATTATTCTCTTAGATCATTCAAGTCAACAGAAGTAATGATGGTATGAATAATAATAATAATAATGATAATAACAATCATAGCAATCAAAATTACACAATCTTTATGTATCATTCACCTCAGTGTCAATATGAAACTACACCATTTGAAAATATTAAATTAGATGAAAGCAAAGCATTTGCAAAATTATTACTCACTTCAAGTAAGTTCATTTCTATATATTCTATAAATAAATTGTATTATAACATCTCTGAATAGGTATACTGCATAGTAGTTGGTACTCTATGTCTATAAAACATAGTATGTGAAAAGAGAAGATATGGATAAGATGACCATAGATATCATTGAAACAATTATCGGGCATCGTGAACTGATTGAGTGGTCAGTGTTGAAGATAAGCTTAAGGTACTCGGAAAAGGTGGCGAATTGGTTAACGGTTATGAATCTTTAGTGACGGAGATAGGGGAAGTTTGCTGGTGTAAGAGTATGTTAGAAGAATGTTAGGTGTAGTCAAACTAAAATGAATCAATTCGAGTGATAACTGTGATTAGTATTTGGTGACTTTTAGTGACATGGCTCTCAATCTCTAACAGATAATTATATATGTTTACTCTTTATCTTCTTTAATATTATGAATTCCAAATTCCCTTTGTATATAACATTTCTCATTCTATCTTTTTGGATCATATTCTGAATGTTCGGTATTTCTCATTTTTATTACTGTTACATCATTCCGATTCGTTTGGTATTCACGTTTTTAAGTTCATTTCGTCGTGCTAATGTGGTATTGAAACTTAGGCTAATGAACATGTTTGTCAAAATAATTCTGATGTACTTCATAGTGAAGTCTTGACTGATTTCAATTTATTTTTGTGTAATATACGATAATTGTATCAGTTACAAACAGTTAAGATTAAGACATATGTTATGTATCTATTCACTTTCCCGTCTAAGTAATAAGATTATCGACTCAATGATTTGCCTACCAAACTTACTGTTAAACATCGAATGAATATTCATTGAACTATAAACATCGCACACATTAGTAATTTAAAGAAATATAAGTAGAATTTGTCTGGAATAGAATAATCAGTGAGGAGATTCAAGCAACCAATACAAAATGAATTTAGACTTCACCCCATTGCACAAGTTAGTGCCTATCATGACTCAATAGCCAAATGGATAAGGCGATGCCGTTTGAAGCGAATGGTACAGGGTTCGACTCTCGGGGTGAACATCAACTATAGGATGCAGGTACATCCGGATGACGGTTCCCAAATAAGACGAAACTTGCACCCTGAATTCCACTGTTAGCTACCATCCATCTCTACTTAGAATGATATATCGAGACAATCCTCACAGGATGCCCACATGACAATAAGAGGTTGATCAAGTGAAGTGCCAGACATCAGTGAGAAAATACAAGCAACTATTACAAAATGAACTGGACAGTTTTCATTGTACATTAACTCTGATTTTCTGTAGACAGATTTTCACGTTCATTTTGCTTTATTTCATGAAATCGGATTGTTGAAAACACTTAGAAAGTCGAGTACAGTGTACATACTGAACTACTACTGTTCACAGTTTAATGCTTACAACAATTTTATCGGGCTCTTGAACAGCATCAAGTTAAAGATATATATGATGGTACGTATTGCTCTCTTGTAAACCTTCGGAAAGCCATTCAATAGTAGTTTGAGGAACTCAAGATATCTAAAATCTTTTTACGTTGATGCTCAGACGAATTTTTCAGTTTGATCTCTATCGATTATAACAGATCTCTTTAGACTGTAGAATTTCATCTGCTTAGTCAATACAAACCTGATTTTATCAATGTAGTCATTCTTTATTTAAACTTCTAATCTTCAATCTTTTGTCTTATTCAGTAACTAGTGATTTCTTCTATGATTTGAAATTCGATTCATTAATATGCTAAGTGTTTCCTGTTACATGTATGTCCATTACAACGATTAATTTATATCATTTCAAATCTTTATAATTTACACGGTCTCCGTCTATCAACTCATAGTTGAAAGCTTCTTAAAAAAAGTCTAACATTTGAATGGTCCGATATCTGACTCCAATTGGATCGTATGATTGATTGTTATTGAAATACCCATATGGTCTATCCTCATATATAATTATCGAATTAACTTGCATTAATGAATAACGGAATTAAATAATTATCAGAAGGGGTTTTTTGTGGAGATTTAGTACGAAACGGCCGTCCAGTGCTTCCAGGTTTTCCTTGGTGGTCTAGCTTCAATTGACTCACACTTTCAACTAGGAATTAAATAAGTTAAATACGAGAATGAATTTCGAATACGTATATTTCATACAATTGTTGATCCAGACAAACGAGCGGAGAAACAAAGTGTAAAGAAAGCGAAGCGACATGACGTGCATTGGAGAAGGCGAGTAACCCAACTCAATTCAACTAAGCGTGAATCGATAGTTATAGTTACACAAAAAGAAGTGTATGCACATACGCTCATATAACAAATAGTCAATGTTGATAAGCGAATAATTGACAAGGTCAAAGTGTGACTCATGAAGAATAAATAAGTTGGTTTGTCCAGAAGCTAGAATAAGCTGTATGGGCTTAACATGGCAACCGACACTATAAAGTGTAGTGATAATGGTTTCTTATTGTAGCTTTTTTAAACTTGAATAAGAAATACTGTAAGCACATTTATTACAACTATTAAGTATTTGGTCATCTGTTCATCTAAGCAACTGAATTCCTTCCTTGTTCATATTACTTCTTGAACATAATCTATGTGCCTCGGATAGTTTCAAATGAAAGTCACGAAATTATAATGAATCTTCAAGTTTTATATTGTGTATTACGCAATAGTTAAATATCTCAAACCTGAGTGAGAGCTCATATTGTGGTGTGGGCTACCTTACATCAACGTAAGTAGTATATATCGTGGGTCAGGAATAGAATATCTGGCGACAGAAAATTGAGAAGATTGAGAAGGGAAGTACAGAAACAAAAAGCAATTGGTATGGAAATCCAGGGACAAGGAAGCCTGAGACAATCAATGAACATTACAAAATGTCAATCAATCGTCTCAGACTTCATTGTTCCTTCGTTTCCATACCAATAACTCTCTGTTATCGTTCTCTTTACTTTGATCTTCTTAACTTTCTGCCTCCAGGCATTTCACTTTCGATTGATGATACATACTACTTATATCTGTCGACATCAGTAGCACATACCACAATAGTGCTAAAAAAATAATAAACGATTAGTCCAAGTGATTCTAACTATAATAATTTGAAAGAGGAGAATACCTTTGAGTTTAGTAGATTGAACAAAGTCAAGAAATCATAAATGTTATATTTGAATAGATTGGTTATTAAGACAAAATATGTTTGAGAATTGGAAGAGATTCAAAAAATTCTTTTTAACTTCATATTTGTATGAAGTTATACAAAACAATAACATATAAAAACAGTACCTGCCCAATGTTTTTTTTCTGAAGATAATAGTCTCCACATTTTACTCAAATTGATTATCTGTATATATGAAAGGCTTCAAGAATTGATTGAAAGAGAGTCTATCAATCATGTATTCAGCCCCAGTTATTGCTTGTCGTTAAACCATTGAGATTTGGGAAATCTTCCTGGATTATAAATAACCTAGAGTTAGGCACATATGTGCGTTAACTCATGTTACCATATCACATTGGTAAAAAGAAATTAAATTAACAAGATGAATAGTCAAGGTGTTAAAATAATTACAAGAGCAGTGAAAATCAGAAAAATTAAACATAGAGAACCTGGTTCGAGAAGACGGAATAAAAGGTATATATGAAAAGATGGCAGATTTGAAGATAAAGAGTAAGTACATCTACTGTATTGTGAGTCATATTGACTAAAGTTCCAATTAGGGGTTATAATAATTTCTAAGACTCTAAACTAGTTGTCTAGGTCTATTAAAATGGATCAGATCAAAAATCAGTGATTTCATACACTGATGCTACATTTTGATTTGGCTACTTCTAACTTTCTTCCAACTTTGAACTATACCAGATAACATTACAAATTGAGATAGGCGGTAGTTTATTCATAGTGCAAATATTATTACGGCAACTGTTGATTATCAAGTGTCATGTCAAGATACACTTGTCGCTAACTAATTTAACTATAATGATGATGTAAAATGCCATGTATATTTCTGGAAGATGTAACACATATCAGCAACTACATCAGTCGTTGATGATGGTCAGTCACTGTTAAAGCATAAATCAATCTGTCAGGAATTTCACTGATAGCAACTATATCATATCTTTCCTTATTGTTTGTTTCTTGTTTACAGCACAAAGACAAAATGAAAACTTCACAAGTAATAATAAACCTATGATGGCTACACCACTGAATAGAAGTCTTTATTTATCATCTAACAAGTTAATAAGACCAACTCAACAATACACAACGATTCATCATCATGATCACCATCCTCATCAACAGCAAAATGTAACCCGTTTTAAAGCATTACGTTTTCTATCGAAACCAATTAAGAAAACTCGAAGTTTCTTTGTAATTAATAATAATAATGAATCCATATCTTCATCAATCTATTCATCTATTTCATCTTATAATTACTTATTAACGTTTTTAATTATATTTAGAATGTTTTATTAAATGAAATCTTAAAATTTTCATCTTTCTCTATGCATACTACTATCAAATAATATAAGTAGTAATAAGTAATATGTGATTGTATAGTATATACATATATGAAATTATATTTGATGAATACAATCAGTATCGTTGAGATTGTTTATTGTTGTTAAGACCATAAGAAGAGAATAAAACCTCCAGGACGATTGAAAGATTTCAATGGAGCTTTGTTCCTTTTTTGTACAATTGACTTTTCTTACAGATTTTATGTTTGTTTGTTGTTGTTGCCTAGATTGTTCTCTTTCCATATTACTTATTCTTCTCTTGTTAAGTGATTTTTTTATTTTTAAAATAAGATTTTCTTTCATGTTTTGTGTAATTTTAAGTGAATCAAACTTTCACTATGTTCAGATATTTATTGTAAGTAATTAAAACAAATGAGTGTATATAATTTGTAACAACTGTTGACACTGGTATACTTGGTCTAGTTATTATCAGGGAATTAATTAGTTAATTATAGAAGAAGTTTTGTGGAGACTTAGTATTTATTATAGTTGAAAGCGTGAGTCAATTGAAGCTAGACCACCATGGAAAACCTGGAAACACTGGACGGCCGTTTCGTCCAGTGATTTGGGTTCGTGGATGAGCACTGCTGAGGAGTCCCATAATAGGACGAAACGGCCGTCCAGTGTTTCCAGGTTTTCCATGGTGGTCTAGCTTCAATTGACTCACGCTTTCAACTATAATTAATTAGTTATCAGAAGGGGGTTTTTCGTGGAGATTTAGTATTTTCATAGTTGAAAGCATGAGTCAATTGAAGCTTTTCCGTCTTATTGTGGGGTGAAACGGCCATCCAGTGCTTCCAGGTTTTCCCTGGTGGTCTAGCTTCAATTGGCTCACACTTTCAGCTATGAGAATTAATTGGTTGATAATAAATTACTTTACCAGAATAAACCAGAAAATTCACAATGATAAATGTGAATTACTAAGAGTTTATAATTCCCAATTGTTGATTGATATTCAGGTTTTCAATTGTTCAGTGTCTGTTGACATGGATCCTGAGTGAACTGGTTCAATCTAATGTCATATTACAAGTTGGTGGATGTCTGAACTTAGAAGCGTAGTCGTGGAATGACGTGCTGAGCGTTTGAAGCAAAGTGTACTAGATTCGAATCTTAATGTGAATATTAACCACTAGTATACACTTACAGACGTCTGACGAGATCCACATGGGATGAAACGTGCATTTTGAGTCTTACTACTAGCCACAAACTAAATAATATGAATTATCACATATAGAAAACGGTGGCAATATTAATCGCATTAAGAAACCCATGTTCAGTAGGTTGCCATCTCATACTTTCAACATATTGCTTCAGTATGTCGTCAACAGATCTATTTGCTACAATAGATAATGGTGGTAGGTTTTACGAATACGCAGGGTCTCTATACAAATTCATCTGTTAGGCTTAAATGTAGACCTCCACTCACGTAAACGTTTGTACAGAAGCGTCCCGAGAATATGTTAATGATATCAGCCGATGTAAATTGTGTAAATGGTTTATAGAGGATCTGCATGTGGAGAGAGACACGAGCTACCAGGTTAACATTTTATCTATTAGAATTGAATGGAATTAAGTCCTATAAAATAAAGGCTACTGAAAACTTGATAAGCATGTCGTTCTGTCGAAATTTGCATCACTAAACATTATGATTCGTCCCAGAGCTCGTGGATGTCTATAAAGTCTCAATTTATAGAAGAGTTGGCTACCTAGATATTGTCCTATGTAAAGTGTTAAACACAAACTAATAACCATCATTACAGGTGGCTTAGCCAAACAGAATACCAACTTTTATTGTGACTAACTGATAAGCCGATTATGCGTAAAGAAATATATGTTAACTACGTCAACGGAAATCGTCACTCGCATGAATGCCACATACCACTGTATCTCATTCACTGACATCTAATTACATTGACCAACTTCAAATGAAGCAACAACGAGAATGCCAGTCTATTCAATATGGCACGTAAACAGATGCTATTAATGACATTTAATCTTATTTAGTATTGTTTGTTTGAATCTTCTCATCGATGTGTTAAGACTGCAAACTGGTCAGTCTCTTATTGGCATATGTGCATACTGTGCGTATTGCCTCGATATAGCCTTAATTCATAAACATTTTAAGCAAAGATGGATAGTAGCTAGCGCTGGAATCCAGGACGCGCGTTTCGTCCTATTTGGGACTTGCGATGGCGTTTGAAGCGAAAGGCACTGGGTTCGAGTCTCAGAGTGAACATCAACTTTGAGATGCAGGTACATCCAGCTGATGAGTCCCAAATAGGACGAAACGCGCATCCTGGATTCCAGTGCTAGCCATTATCTATCTTTGCTTATTAATGACATTGTTACTTAAAACTACTTATTGTTGTTTCACATTTTTTCCAATGTAGTGCAGGGTTAAACTTAGGGTTCAAGCAAAACGTCCACTTTCATTCAATCCACAATATCATATCGATTCCCTTCAATATACATTTCATATAAGGTAAGATAAAGTATTAAATGGTAACAATTTATGTTAAATTGAGAATTACACATATAAATCATTCGATTTTGTCGTCAAAATAAAAAAACAAATAGAAGAATCGAACCGATCTCATGTTGTATGTTAAACGAATAGACAGAAAAAGATTGAACTTAATACGTAAAAGTGTATGTGTGTGATTGCATGGTAACAGAAAGAAGATTGATGAAATGTATACGAAAAAAAATTAAAAAAAGGAATCATATTTGAATGGTAGGCATTTGGTTTGTACAAACCCCAATGATAGTAACACCAGTGATAATATTAATAATAAGGCAGACAATGTAGAGAGCAGACAACATTGCTATGCAGAAAGGCACTTCACAATTGTTTGATATTTTTCAAAATGAGAAAAAAGAAACGACACAATATTAATGATTACTCTGTATTTTCAAGTGTGTATGTAACTGACTAATTATGGCTAATGATGGGAAGCAAGATTTGTGCAGTTTTATTTTTGTAAATGAAGAAAATTTAAACAAGAAACATAGTATATATGAGAGGAATTAAGAAATGGACAATTTAAGAAGATGCACAAAAATAGCACATACGCACACACACACACACACACGCAAACACATACATATGTATCTATGTGAAAGGATTCCGTTGATTAAATTAATTAATGATTTTATTTAGACTGATTTTATCGTTATTATTATTGTAAACAGTTTGTAATTGTGTTTTTTTTAAGGGATATCAATCACAAATGGGCTACCTGGTATATGTTGATCACCCCATTTAATTACTAAAAAGTGTTTACCACTTTGAAATACACGATATGATACAGTGTATTGATTATTGGATAAATGTTTGACAACCACTTCTTCAGATGATTGTTTTGGACCACAGATACCAATCAGTAGAACATCGTTACCTGAAATAAAAAAAACAAGCAGGGAATATGTTGTCAATGGGAAAAGAAAACTTATACAATTGAAAACATTTCTTGATTTAAATTTACATGGAAGAAAAAATCCGTGACAGTTTTACAGTCAGATGATCCTAACAAGTTGGATGTTAAAAGGTGACTTATCTAAAAGTTTGTTAGGTACAACTGTGTAGGCGTATAAGTTGATATTACCCAAAAATCTCTTCTAAAACACAATAGACATAGGCCTTTCGCTCTTTTTAATTTATATCAACGATACTTGCGATTGCTTTTGTATGGGCGTCTCCTCTATATAAAGATTATTGTAAAGTAATGTGTTCATTTTCTCCTCATTAGCCCAACAAGGTAGCCTGATGGTGCTGAAAATGATAGTTGGAGCTTAACATGGCTAAATGTTAGTGCATGTGCTTTGGTAATACATCACTCAACTTGGATCTTACCATAAATGGTAAGAAGTTACAATTTGTCCTAGGCATAACAGGTTTTGAAACAGACTTTCAAGTCCCAACGTCCTATGGGTCGCATAATTCGTAATTTCTATAACAACGAATCACGTATTTTGATATATACGGTTTGCGTTCGACCATTTTTAGAAGGCTGCACAATTATTCATAGCAGTGTTTGCATAAATGGTAAATTAAAGTTGGAATCTGTTCAGAGGCGATTTACAATTCGCATTCTGGGGACTGTACCTTAAATTATGAGTCTAGATGTAATAAACTTGGACTGGACCCTTTATGGAAGAGCAGACTGAAACTAACTCTGATCTTTTTCTTCAAAATACTTGATAAACTATTCTGTACATCCAGTGAAGCAATTCAATATGCAGAAACCCCTAATTATAGCATCTGTAACTCTTTGTCATTAGTGAAACAGTCACATTCTAAATCATTTCTTTATATGAATTGACCAGTAGATTTTCTAGACTCTGGAATAATCTACCACAATCTATCCATGAGATAAAATCATTCTCATCTTTTTGTTCGCTGCACGGATGTTTACTGTTCCTCTGAAAATGCATTAAATGTTCTTGCACCTGTAAGTTTATCTTATTCCGTAAGAGAGATTATAGATACTTTAAATGTTTAGACATTTTTACAACTGAACCCACTGGATAAAACCACCTACCTTTAAACTTACATCATCCCTGGCAACCATCACTAGTTTAAATGATATCTAACACGAATGTTAGATCATAAAATAAACTGACATATGTATTATGGTAAGCCTAATTAACCTATTGTAGTAATTATTACCTTTATTTCCGTGTTCTCTGCTTCCGTTTTATTTTCTGTAGTTATAGATGATTAAAATCATTTCGTTATGGCTCAGGAAATGACCTTAAATGTACCGTCCAAAGATCAAAAGGATTTCAACTTCAAAAGAATTCAAAGTTTCCGACTGATTCCTTTCGGTACTGTAATACGTGTGAAAAATATACTACTTGAACAATTTTCGAACTAGAAAACTTAAAACAATCTAATATCACATATCTGTTCTCTACATCTAATAATAAAATCCATGAAGTCACTGACAATTGGAC